ATATATATATATATATATATATATATATATATGCATATATATATATATATATATATATATATATATATATATATATATATATATATATATATATATATATATATATATATATATATATATATATATATATATATATATATATATATATATATATATATATATATATATATATATATATATATATATATATATATATATATATATATATATATATATATATATATATTATACATATATATATATATATATATATACATATATATATACATATATTATACATATATATATATATATTATACATATATATATATATATTATACATATATATATATATATATATATATATATATATATATATATATATATATATATATATATATATATATATATATATATATATATATATACATATATACAATATATATATATATATATATATATATATATATATATATATATATATATATATACATTTATATACAATATATATATATATATATACTATATATATATATATATATATATATATATATATATATATATATATATATATATATATATATATATATATATATATATATATATTATACATATATTATCATCAAGGATGGTCCTGGACTTCAACGTCCTCATCGCAAGCATAGATCAACTGAATTGGTTCTCCTAACAAACCCCCAAAGTCCTAAATCGTGGCTTGTATCATTGCATTCATTCTATTATCCATTCCATGCAGCTGTTGCAAAGTGTTGCTGCAAGGACACAGCCTTGCCTCACCCTTGAATTAACAGGGAAGAAGTTCAACAGGCCCCCACCACACTTTTCAGCACTTTCAGTATCGATATGTAGGCTTGCTATTAGACCAATAATCCGTGTTGGAATTTCTCTAAGACTCAGAATCCCGAGTCAAAAGCCTTGAGGTCGATGTAGGCTGCATGCAGACCCACGACTGAACTCACGACGGCGTTCCACAGGTCTTTTTCGCACTAGTCTAGCCAGTGGTAGCAGCTGCAAGCGAGAAGGCATGCAAGCTACCCCACCATCGCTTCACATCACCCTGAGATTGAAGCACCCACCTATATTATATATATATATATATATATATATATATATATATATATATATATATATATATATATATATATATATACTTATATATCAATATTTATATATATATGAAGCAGGAACGAATCCATTGTTCCAAGACTTTTTTAGCCAGGTGCCAAGTAAACTTTTTTGATAGAGGATGAAACATGAATCTATCACTATGATCCAGAAACTAAGGCCCAGTGAAAGCACTTGACTCACCACCCTTAAAATAACACGTGTCACACCCCGGGCAAGCATTGTTATGCTCACAGTCCTTTGGGACCATTATGAAGTAGTGAGGATGGATTTCCAGGCAAAAGGTAATGCAATTACAGGAGCTTACTACACTTCACTGCTACAGAAAGAGTGGGAGACTGTCAAAACCAAAAGGCGAGGAAAGATGACTACCTCCCACAAAACAACGCTTCCGTTCACAATTCTTATATTGTCCTGATGGAAGCACGACCCCATGGCTACAACATCCTTCCTCATCCTACTTATTCTCCTGACCTTGCACCATCTGACTTTCATATCTTTCCGTCCATGGAGTCATCTTTGAAGGACAATCGTTTCCAAGGCGACACTGATTTCTGAAGTCATGGCTTCATGGCTTCAAATGCTGCGGACCTCTAAAAATCTCGCTGTAACAGAAAACAAGTTATGAGTTAAGAACTGGAATTCAACACATGACTAAGAAAGATATGTATATATATATATACATATATATATAAACACATCATGATGCCATGATAAAGTTGCTAGAAGTATACAATGAAATTCGAAATTCGGAAAGGCCACACTTTTGCATACTCATAGCACTTTGACCACATCATTCCCATATCGATGGTTAATAGTTAAAAGCAAAATATATTTGCTAGATATCTTAGGTCATGTAGCACTACAGGAAGGTACAGTAGTGAAGGGCGGTTGAGTTAGTAGTTAGTTGCTATCTCAACTATCTAGTTCATATTGAAAAGGTTAAAGATGGGTAAAGGAGTGAATGGGTTAAGGTAGGGTTAGGTAAAAGGGATCATATCAAGTGAAGCATATGTATGCGTGTGAGGAAGGAAAAAAAGTTGTCAGAGCAGAAAGTGTGAGATTCTGTAAGGATGTCTGATCGGTTGAGAGGTCTGTGAAGGGAGGATAGGTGGGGGAAAACAGAGGTACAGGTTGTATCAAAGCGTAGACAAGACAACAGAATGCGTGGAACCGCAAGAGGGACATTACACTAGGAACATAGAGGCGGATCAGAAAGGTGTTTTCTGATGGATAAGTATAGGGGAGAGCGGGGCAGGTTGGAACGTGGGGCAGGTTGAATCATTGCATTTTTTGCGAATCCAAGGACGCTGCTGGAGACGGCGCTGCCATTATGTAATAGCCTCTCATACGACCCATCCACCATATTGAATTCACCATCGTTCATGAAGCAACACAATTTCGAAAGGTTTGTTTGATTTTTGCATTTTTGAGTAAAATTTTTGCGAGCTGCAAATGTCCATTTTTTACAGTAATAGCGAGAGCCAAAATTGAGCCCTTTTGCCAGTTTATTAATTGAACATATCTAATTAGAATGAGATACAAAAGATCACATGAATTTTATTGGATGACGTGAATATTCCATGCACTGGTTAAGAATGTGTCTGGGGCAGGTTGGAATAGGCTGGATGGGGCAGGTTGGAACAGTGTTCCAACCTGCCCCCACCAGAGCAGATTAATGTTTTATTGTATCCAGAATCACCTTCTCTCGCCAGAAGACATTTGTCCTTTCACCAAAGCTGCACCTAGGAAAAAAAATGTGGAAGAAAGCCAGGGAGAACAAGAGTCCTCACAGACACTCCTGTGAGGATGGAGATTGCAGAGGAGGCAGCAAAGAGAAAGTCAAAGAATACAAAAACTGGCAAAAAGAACACAAAGGCAGTTAGGCGCTTAGTTAAAGTCACTGAACAAGAATCGGAGACAAGCAGCGAGGACAACACTATGCCAACCATGACATCTGATGAGG